CCCCCGACCTCCCCCCCTCCCCCTCTCCCACCAGTAGTCATTCAGCGCGCCTTTTTGTGCTCACGGCGCCTTCCTTGGGCTTCTTCGGCCCCCCGTGAAGGGCAATGGGGAACGGCCCCATTATCGCCCTCAGATCCTCATCAGAGCTGGGCCGCGAGCTCGGCCGCTCACCCCTCTCGCTCGTAACGCTCCGCTGGCTCTTGTAAGCGGGCTTCAGCCCCCCAGCCGCCGCATCACCCGGCCGCCCACTGCCCCGCCCCGCACCCTCGTGCAGCACGCGGTGGACCAGGCCTGTGCGCACAGACAGCAGAAGGGGGAGCGACTCACTGCTGGATGGCTTGCTGCTGCTGCCACGACTAGCTGGTGTCGTCACGCGGAAGGGGACGAAGCTGAAGCTGCTCTCCGAGGGGCATGGCGAGGAGACGCTGGACGAGGTGGTCTTCTTGGGCAGCACCGCGGGGGCGACACTCATCCGCTTGGCCTGCTGCTGCAGCTTCTGCGTGAAGGACGCGTGCAGCAGGTCGGCGTGCTGGATGGCCAAAGGGGGCCGCAGCAGCTGAGAGGGCTTGAACCCAGCCGCACCACGCACGTCTACACACACATGACAGACACAGACAAATAAATGTACAGTGTACCACACCCTCTGTTGACTCACTCACTCACTCAGTTACTCACCGGGCGGCGTGGGTGCGGGTGGGATGGTGGTTGGTGGCGCTGCAGCCTTGGCGAGCACCGCGCCCATGCGCTTGACGCCCATCTTCCCTCTCCCCCGCCCCCTTTGTCGCATAGCGATCTTGGCCCGCGGATTGGACACGAAGCGATAGGTGCGCACCTGGCCACTGCTCCTGCCGTCTTCGCTCTGCTCCCTGCTCCTGGTCTCTCTCTCGCCGCGGCCGGGGACGATCTCGAATTGCCCCGGCATGATGGGGATGCCCGGCCGCCTCAGGTCTGGCGGGAGGAACTCCTTGGCGTCGTGGCGCTTGGTCATCTCGCAGTCGCGGAAGATGCTGGTGAAGGGCCGGGAGATTGGCGAGATGGGCGAGGGGCAGACGACGGGCTGGTGGTGCTTGTGCTGACGGATGGCGTGGGAGTGGTCCACCTGATTGTGGTGGTTGGGATCGCCCTTGAGCCATCCCCAGAGGTCGGGCATGACAGGGATCTTCTCGCCGCCCTCCTTCTGCCCATGGTGCAGCGGGGTCAGGTGGAACCCGCTGGGGCTGCCCCCGCTGCCGTCGGCCGTCGTGGTCCGCCCAGTGCTCGACGTGCCCTCCACCGCCTTCAAATCCACGGTGCTCGCCGAGCCCTCTCTCTCCTCCTCAGCACCGAGGGCGCACCCCGCCTCGAGATTCATGTCGACGGCGATATCGAGGGCATGTGAGAAGAGGGGGTCTGTCTGCCCATCCTGCTCGGCGAGGAAGCGGGCGGGTGGGTCGGGCGAGTCGGGGACGGGGATGTTGGGCACGGAGAGGGAGCGGTCGCGAGCTGTGAGTTTGCGTGGTCGGCGGGGGGTGGGGATGGGGAGGTCCAAACTGGGCAGCATGAAGGACAGCTCCACAGCCTTGTGCAGCTCCTGGGACGAACGAAAGACAGAATGAATGACAGATGAATGATTTGTGGATGGATGGATGTGTGTGTGTATGGTGTCGTTGCTCCATCGGCGTACGTCTTTGCGCCAGTGTGGCAGCCAGACTTCTTCCATCGGCAGGCAAATGCTCCTCTCGCTGCCGCTCCCATCCGGCACATCGTCGTCGAAACCAAACCCAAATCGAGCACTGCCTGCAGACACGAGTGAGCCACACAGACACGCCCACACGCATACACACAGACATGGATCCTGCCCGCCACTCAAGGCAGACATTTCTTTGTCATTCATTCTCTCACTCACCCTCTTCGTCGAATTCGCTGTCGTCCCTCTCGAGTACCCCCCAGTCGCTCTCAGTGTCCTTGATATCGTCGATGCCCACCCCCTCCCCCTTGCTGCTGTTGTCCACACAGTCGCTCCTCATGTCGTCCAATGTCGGCAGCGGACCCTTGGGGTTGAAGATCGGCGGCCGTTGGATCGTCAGGATGGGCGACGGATGCGCACCGTCGCTCCGGTCGTTGAGGTACGCCCGCGCTGGCAGGGCAATCGGGATGGGGCTGAACTCTTCAGCACGTGGCTCTGCTTTTGCCGCCGCCTTTGGCTGGGGCTTGTCGTCGCACGACGGTTGGATGGGGCTGCTGGGTGTCTGCTCTTGCAGAGGGGGCGGGGAGTCTTCAGGTCGGTCAGCCAAGTGCTGCTGCTGCTGCTGTTGTTGTTGGTGGTGTTGCGGGTGTTGCTTGTCAGAGATGGCGGGTGGTGGGAGTGGTGGGAGTGGCGCAGGTCGGGATGTTGATGTGGATGAGACCTTCTTGTTGACAAGGATGTGAGACGATGCTTCGAACGGCCATGGATACTGCAGAGGGGAACTGAACGAAGCCATCACATACACACACACACACGAGCCACACATTATGACAAAGAGATATATGAGTGTGTCTGTGTGTCTGCTGCACTCCGTGTGTGTGTGTGTGTGTGCGTGTACCTTGGAGGCTTATCGTCGGTGAGCATTCCAACACGCCAGCCTGCCCGACTATTCAATCAGCGGTCGGGCCGTTGACATATGCACACGACAAGGAAAAGCCCCTCACACAGAAAGTCTCAATTAGCGTCATGCAGCTGACGACCATCTCAGTCAGTCAGTCAGACACACATACGACCACACGAGGGAGGGAGGGAGGGGGTAGAGGTAGAGGTAGAAAGAGAAGCGTAATCACTCGCAGACAGCCAAGCGTTAAGAAGCCAGCATCGCCCTTTGGCCACGGGAAGCAGCAGCAAGAAGGAAAACGAGCCAGTGAGCGGTGACTTTGCCTCCTGAGCCTTCTCTCATGCCCCAGCTCATGCCCCGATTTTGTGAGATTTTGTCAACGCACTGCTGCCTTGAGAAAAATGCCTCCAGAGACTCTTTGTTTGTATTGCAGTAAGTAAAAGAGTCCTCGCCTCGCGTGCGTTCCTCACTCTCCGCGCGAGCTCGCAGGGGCCCCGAGAGAGCGGTTTCACGGACGTCCTAAGGCTTTGCGAGCTGACATTGGGGGTGACCTCTCTCCTCCCCCCTCGCGACAAGGGCATTGCAAGTGTCTGCGATGAAGGTTCATCAGCACTGCTAACCATTGTTACATTCTCATTCGAGGTTCCCAATCCTCTCATTGGTGAGGGGCTCTCTCTGTACTTTCCTGCATCGCACGGGTGGGGTGCCTCAAGAACGCTTCTGCATCGCACGCACTTGTATCGCAGCACACCTGCTCGGTGACTGACAGAAAGAACGCACAGATACACCGGGAATGCAATTGATGTTTGATGATGATTGCATTGCGTTCTCTTTCTTTCGTCAGGCAGCATCGCAACCCGTCCAGCCCCGTCCCTCATTGATATGTATCTGTAATGGCCGACACCTCTCCTGTGCCCTGCCGACAGGCCCCCTGCAGCAGCAGCACCGACACCAGCAGCGCAAGGCCGAGTCAGAACGTTCCCACGGCTATGGCGACGAGGCCGTCAATTCGCGGCAGATGGGAGGGGCTTCTGGTGGGGCTGCTGGCTGTGTGCGGGTCGCTTGCTCTCGAGAGTGTGGAGGCGGGTATACTGAGGAACAAGTTGCAGAGCGGGCGGCGCAGACAGGTGCTGGTGGAGGCCAAGGGCGCCGTGGCCTTCATGGTGCCGGCCTCGCTGCCCGATGACGATGTGGAACACGACATGGCGTTCCTTCAAATGCGCGACATATCCAATGATTCCTCGGCGAGGACGACCCACAACCACCAGCACCATCGCGTCACGCTGCCCCTCCCCCTGCCCAGCATATCGCTGACCCAGGAGAACTCCACGGCCAAGCAGCCCGCGGCATCACCGCAGACGGGATGCTTCGAGCCCCCCCTGCTGCCCCATGCCCACTACAACCGGACCGCTCTGCAGGGCGAGAAGGACGCGCCGGGATCGGTGCTGGCCTACCGATGCGAGGAGGGCTACCTGCTGAAAGGCGTGGCGGAGATCCGCTGCAAGGGGAGGGGCAAGTGGACGGACAACCCGCCCGAGTGCGTGCCGGTAACCTGTGACGCGCCTCCTGTCCTGCGCAACACCAAGGCTTCTCTTCTCAACTCGACTGTGACCGGCGAAAGGGTGCCTGTGCCTCATGAGGGCGGGCTGCCTCCCAGCAGCACCTTCAGCTACACGGTTGGGATGCAAGTGGCTTACGAGTGTGTCCAGGGCTACCGGAGTGACAACCCCATCACGGCCGTGTGCACCAAGGAGGGCATATTCGAGTATGACGAGAACGAGGAGTGCGTCCACATATCGTGCCCCAATCCCGACACCAACAAGCACCCCCACCGACGGCGGACGGGCAACTCCTACTATGTGGGCGACGTTGTTACCTTCTCGTGTGACGAAGGCACACTCAATGGCCCCAGCAAAATCACCTGTGAGTCGTCGGGAATGTGGTCGTCTGACCCAACGGAGATCACCTGCACAGCCATCTCATGCGGTGCCATCGACCTCAACGCCACACGGGGGCGGCACCTATCGCTGCAGCAGATATCTCCCTTCAGCAGTGAGGGAGGCTTCTTCTGGACCAAGGGATCGACAATCGAGATGCGCTGTGAGGATGGGTGGCAGTTTCCCGAGGAGGTGGCGTCATCTGTGGTGCAGACCAGATGCCTGGCCAATGGCACCTGGAGCACTGGCGACCCACCTCCCTGTTCTCCCGAGCCCAACACCCACTACCGCATCCGTGTGAAGCGATCCTACGGCAGCGAGGTCAGCAATGAGCCGATGTGACAACATACGTAATGACGCAGACACTTGTATATCTGTCTGTCTGTCGTCCCTCCCTCCCTGTTTGTTAAGGGTCTGAAAGCGGAGGATGCCAAGGTGTGGACTGTGTATGAGATGGAGTTCTACAGCGACGCCCACTGCCACCCCGACTCACGCCTCGCCCTCTCCATCAAGGACATCACCGCTGCCGGATACACCCCCGACCACCCCCCACAGCACGCCGTCGACGGCTCGCTGTCCACTGCGTGGCACTACAATGTCACCGCACACTCCAATGACACCATTGTCAGCAAAACGGAGAACTGGGCGGCGTCGCTGAACCCGATCGAGGGTCCCTGGCTGGCCCTCCAGGTGAACAAAGCAGCAGCGATCCACTGCTTCGTTGTGCGCCAGGGCCCGGCTGACCACCGGCATGTGGGCGGCCGGGAGGGCATCCCACCCCAGTCGCTCGAGCTCGACCGCTGGAACGGCTCGGCTTACGTCCCGGTTATCAACACGCGACTAGGGGTATCTACCGACCCCTCTGCAGCGCCCAACACGCTCATTGAGACCAACTACACCAGCAACGAGCTCGCGAGGACACTGCTGGGCGCGACGCACTTCAATGACGTTCTCGAGGAGGAGGCCGAGTCGTCGCCCGTGCTGGACCATCCGCACGCGGCCAGGGTGGAGGTGTTCACCTGTGGGCCCATTACGCCACCACTTCATGGCCGGCTGCTGGGTGAGGACGGTGGGTGGGCGCCAGGGTCGAAAATCCGATTCGTGTGCGACGACGGGTGAGCAGGAGACACCAGCCACTCACTCGTGACAGGGAGGTATGCATCCATGCCATGTGTCTCCTTGCTTCATTGGTTTGGTCAGGTACACTCTGAAGGGCCCGGAGATTACTGTGTGTGGCAACGAGCACGACCCCTCTGACGTCAGCCGTATGGAGTACACCCACCCCATCCCGCCCGAGTGCGAGCCCGTCGTGTGCGACGTGGCAGAGATCGTCAAGCCCAAAGACCAGTGGCACCTTCACCGACACATCCACCTCCCCAGCCACAAGCAGGGAGAGCCGGGCGTGGGCGGCGAGATGGGACTCGTTGCCGGCACCAAGGTCATATGGGAGTGCGACGAGGGGTTCACTCTCGTCGGGGAGGCCATCATGCAGTGCCAAATCGACGGATCTTACAGGAGAGCAGACGCAGGTCCACCCATGTAGTACGTGAGAGGCCCCACCTTTTCATGCACCTCCTGTCTGTCACTCTGCCATCAGTGGTGCGGTGCCTCGTTGTCAGCGTGCCACGTGTGGCCCCTACCCCTGGCCGACCATCCCCCACGGCTCAGTCATGTCCGACACATCAGGGGCAGACCCTACTGCGACCAACGCCAAGGACTTCACCCTCAGAGGCCCGCACTCGGCTACATGTCTCTCCAACGGCACATGGAGCAACCCCCCGCCGAAGTGTGTCGGGTGGGTCACCACCAGCTGGTCGCGGTGCTCGCGCAACTGCGGCCCCGGCAAGCGGCACCGGACTGTCACGTGTGGCGCGCCGACAGAGTACCACTGTGACGACGTCAAGAAACCTTCCAACACCACCGACTGCTGGGAGATCGCCGGATGTGACGCGAACAGCCGCGCAGTGCTTTCCTTCGACGTGTATATCACCGGCCACGGCCAATGCAGGCTGCAGTACGAGCAGCAGGTGTTGAAGGAATGGATGGCGAGGGAACTGAGGCTGCAGAACGGCGCAGAGGACATAGAGGTGATCAAGGACCACTGCGACAAGACGGCTGACGAGGGCGGGGAGGGGGAGAGGGAGGTGTATCGTATGGCGATGAGCGCCAGGACGTTCGGTGAGCTAAAGGAGGACGTTGTGGGCCGGCTGTCGGACATGTCGCGGATGCCCACCGACACAAAGGACAGCTTCAGTGTGGTGCTGAGAGACGCGCACGTGAGGGACGGGCCACCGCCTGCGGACAAGCCGAACGCCGCCAACCTTCTGACGGTGGGCTCTCGTTTCCATAATGTCTGTATGTGTATGTGTATGTGTATGTCCATCATGGTATGTATGGTGTCTCTGTCTGTATACCAGGTGGTGAATGAGAACGAGTACGTGCAGGTGAACCAGAACTCCATTCAGGAGCTGGGCGAGTGCCCGCTTCCCAACCCGCCCCAGGCCGACCGCTGCTGGATCTCCAGGCTCGACGGCACCGTCAACGCCACCACATGCCAGTCGAGCGCATACGCATTGGAGGAGGAGCACGTCATGGCCGGCTGCGAGGCGGGCTACACGCCAAGAGTGTTCGAGTCCTACTGCCTCCACTCCGGGCTCTACACCCGGCCGGCGGCGTGTGCCGAGGTGCCGGTGCTGCTGGCGGTGACTTTGCATGTCACTCTGGGCGTGGAATACGGGTCGCTTTGCGAGACGCTGATGCTGCACTCGCGAAGGCTGAAAAAGCAGCTGGCTGCCTAGGGGATATGGAATATCAGCGATCCGTGGAGCATCCACTTCGAGCAGTGCAAGGACCTGAGAGAGGCCGCTGCTGCTGCCGCCGCGATGTCGTTCTATGAGGAGGAGGATGAATCATATGACGACGACGACGACAGTACACACACACACACACACAGAGAGAGAGAGAGAGAGACGCGCCAGCAAAGACACTGTTGCTTGTCTCACTGCTTGGGTTGTGTTTGGCATTGCAGGTGACGACGAGGCCGATGATGATTCCGATGACGACTCCAGCGACAAGACCCCCCCGTCATCAGCCGCTGAGGACGCGTGCAAGCCCAACACCGGTGGGCAATTCAACCCCACAGGCGGCAAGGCCACCGTCGCACTCTGCAACGCCACCAAACAACAACAACGCCCTAAGAATGCCACCGGAGCGAAGGAGCAGTCCTTTGTCGATCTTGATGTCAGGGGCGACGTCAAGAGTGAGGTGCACCAGTTCGTCAAGGTCACCAGCACCATCCTCTCACAGGCCACCCTCAGGGCCCGCCTAGTCGACACGCCACAAGCCCTTCTCGTCCAGGCCTTCAAGGCCGCACTCAGCGACTCACCGCACATGGGAACCATCAACGTCATCCCGCCCTCAAGCATCGACCAGGAGGTCGAGTGCAGAGTGCCATATGTTGACGGAGCCCTCAAATGTGAGACAAAGAGGGCTTCTGCAAACAGCCAGCGACGGCTGTACCGGTGCAACGGCGTCGGCCTCGTCAAGCCTGGAGAGACGCTGATGCTCTCGTGTGACGAGGGGTATGCGGCAGCGGAGGGCGTGGCGATGGCTGAGGATGCGCCGGAGGTCAACGACCCTTCCAGGACGGCATTCAGCTTCTCGTGCAGGAGCGACGGCACTTTCGACCGGTCGGTGGGCTGCCAGCGGCTGCACTTCGTCACTGTGCTGGGCAACTGCACCGACCATGCCATGAACGGGACGAGACTGGCATCGACTGCGGCGGCTCGTGCAAACCCTGCCCCGCACCCACCTGCACGTACGCACGTTGGTCGATCGGTCGCTTCGTGTCTCTGCTTCTACTGTGTGTCTTGTGTTAACTGGGCAGTGATGGTGTGCAGAATGGTGACGAGACAGACGTGGACTGCGGCGGCCTCGACTGCGCTCCCTGTGACGAGAAGGAGGGCGTCATTCAGGTCCGCGCACTCGCGTGGCTGCCTGACTCTGGCGAGCTCAAGGTGGTGGACCAAGGCGAGCTCAAGGTGGTGCACCGCGGCCCCTTCAACCTCACCAACGTCAACAGCACATCCGGCTGCGGCGATCTGGTGGCCCCCGACTGCACCGTCATTCTCTTTGGTGGCCTCACTGCGCTTATCGGCGACGAGCACGAGCTGATGACGTGTGACCTGCGCCGCTTGTCCGTGGCCCTGGACGGCTCTGGGGAGTTCTATGTGGGCGAGAGGAAGGTTGGCGAGTGGCGCGATATGAGGGCAGGCATGGCCTTCACGCGCGGCCGTCCTGGGGCGGGTCTTGCTGGCGGTGAGGGGCTGTTCGGGCCGAAGGACACCGAGAGACACAGAGGGGCGGGCGGCAGCACTGCCTACGATATCAAGGAGCACTCGCACGAGATAAGGCGGCATGTGGCTGGGGAGGCGGGCCAACAGAGCAGCTACTACCGGGTCGAGGACGTCCCAAACAAGATGCCCACACCCGAGAGGGCCGGGGCAATCAGAGCACGACACATACCGCGCAGTTGTGTGTGGGTGTCGCTTTTGGCGCTGGGTCTGTCGAGACAATTAGGGCTGCTGACGCGGGCATGACTGATTGGATTGGATTGGCCTGTGCATGGACGCGTGCGTGACCGTGTGTCGCCCGACATATATCCTTACCTGCTAGACTGATGGACCGATCGCAGTATGGGTGGTCAATCTATCCATCCATCCATCGATCGTTGCATTGATTGCACCTGCAGATAGGATGTGTGAACAACTAGGCGTGTGCGTCTGTGTGTGTGTGTGGATCTGTGGTTGGCCATTTGCAGATGACGCCGTGGACAGTGGCAGTGGATGCCCGTCGTGCACAGCAACCATTGAATAAGGATGGAATGGATGTCTGGTCCATTGCCAATGAGTCAATCAGTCAATCACAAACGAACACCCAACTCACCGCATCACCCCACCCCCTCCTGCCGGCCAGCCCCACCACACAAGTTCACCCTACACTACAGCTCAGCTGCAGCTACAGCCAGTAGCTAGCACTTGATCCACTTCGCAGTCAGCTGGATGTCCTGCGCGCACACAATACACAACACAACACACACAAACACACACACAATGACACATCGACACATGCGGATATCCCTTCGCACGACTCCACCCACTGCTGTTCCCGTGTAAGTCTGTCTGCCTACAAACATACCTGTGCTTGAGGGCGGCTGAGGCTGTCCACAAGGTCGCGGATGAAGTTGCCGATGGTCCAGCCGAGGATCTCCTCCTCATCAAGCTCCTGCTGCAACTCTCCCACTCGCTGCAAGCTAGCCTGCTGCCCTTGAGCCCCTCCCCGACCGACCTCCCCCTGCAGCACTATCTCGCCCGCCCTCACGTGGTGGGTAATGGCGGACTTCATGTCGTTGACGATCGCAGAGGGCACTGTGGTTGTGGGCTTGTCGTACCCTATCGCTCGTTGTCGCAAGTCCCTCACATCGCCCTCTATCGTCGCCAAACGCCTGTCCACGGCGGCGAACCCCTGTGTCATCGACTGCACTAGCGGCTGTACCCAATCGGGTGCCGACTGCACTAGCGGCTGTACCCAATCGGGTGCACCGTCAGGTATGGGTGGAGGGGCTGGCATGGAAGTCTTAGAGGGGTCTGCTGATGGTTGGGCCTGCGCGTCGAAGGAGTCACGAAGCGATGTCTGCCGGTTCGTTGCATCGAAGAAACCGACGGGAAGCTCCTCGATGCACTGCATGAGAGAATATGTAGATGCCGATGGCGCCTTTCGCAGGAACGAACGCGGCACGTGCAGGAAGTTGGCCGTTGGGTCGCGGAGTGAGTCAAGCGGGCAGACGAATAGCTGATGATACACTTGAGCTGTCTCTTCAGGGTCCTGACGATGGCGGCCGCCTCGGTTGCGGTGCGCCGACAGGCCGTGGACGATGGCGCCCACCGCCCTCTTGTCCTTGACCAACAGCGGGCTCCCCGAGTCACCCGGCTTTGAGCTGACGCCCGACAGCTGCAGGAACGACACCGTGCCATCAGCCTTCTTGTTCACGCCACAGACCACACCACCAAACCGACGGCTGTACTGGTACTCGTCTGACGCGCCTCCTCCCTGAGGCTCAGTGACGATCTCCTGCGCCTCCAGGTGCACCCCGATATCCAGGCCGTAACAGATGGATGTCTGACGGTGGGGAGAGGCATTCTGCTGGAGCGTGGCAATCGCGATGTCCGGATGGCCGTCAGAGAGATAGTCCTTGTGGATGTAGTACTCCTTGATCTCATGAGAGCCTTCACCGTGCGTAACAGCTGCACCGTCGACGTCGACGTGGCACAGCGCGACATGTGCCGCCGTCGCGCACACGTTGGGACTCAGCAGCACACCTTGATGCCCACCGGAAAAGCCGCACTGAATCCGGTGGGCGCTGCCGGGAAAACATGAAGTCAACATCTCTTGTCTTCACTCCCTCTCGTGAGAAGCTGCAGCTCGAGAGCTCCGACACTATCCACACAGGTAGACACACCACCACACACAGGCAGACATGACTGATGGACGGGTGCATGAGTCGATGGATGGGCGGTCGTGATGTGTGTCGTGGTCCTTCCTTCTCTGCCTGCCTGCCTGCCTGCCTGCCCTGCCTCGTTTGTCTGTGCTCACCTTGAGATGTATGATGTGCTCACCTTGAGGGAACCCCCACCGCAACACGTATACCTGCAAGACACGCAGATGGACAGAAAAACAGTGAGTGAGTGAGTCGTCTGTGCCTCTTCGTCGGGTGAATGTACCTGATGGTGGCCGGACGGGGCTGCAAGTGGCACGGCAGGCGTCAGTGAGCTCTCTGCGGCCCTGCACGGGCGAGATACGGCCCTTGATGTGTGCAGATGGGGCAAGGGTTTTGCAAGGGCTGGACCGATCTCTTGAAGTAGGGGCAGATCTAAGTAATCTGTGAGTCTGAGAACATCACTGTGGGTCTGTGAGGTCCCGTTCTTATTTCGCCTCTACATTGCGATCTTATGTCCCTCGTGAAACTGACCCTTGCCTAATCACGAGGGTCAGTGCATCGGCACTCCTGCAACGAGACCTGGCGACCCCCGAAATCGAACCTCACCGGGAACCAGCTGCGCTTTATGGGAAGTGACACCACGATCATTGAATAGAGAGCAATTGATGCACAGAGTGACTTGCTGAATCAATCCGCTGGTTGTTAACTGCATTCATTCATTGCACACGCGGACAGACAGACAGACATGTGAAAAGTGCGAGTGACATACATACATACTTACACATACATGCGACCAGTAGGCGACTTCCTCACTCACTCACACGTACACACTCATCCATCCATCCAATGCCAAGAGCCACAGATGCATGGGCGGATGGACAGTGAGTGGCCGGAGACAGTACAAATAGCACTCTTGTCTGTCGCTCAGTGACTGTGTCAGTCAGTCAGTCAATCAGTGGGTGGCGGGGGCAAGGCGGCAGCAGGACAACACCAGCAAGCGGCGGCAATAGGCAGTGTCTGTCTGTGACATACATACACACACATCGGTGTATCCCTCCCTCCCTCACCTCTTCCAACCGGCGCCCCCAAGTCGACTGCGTACGGGTGTCTGGACTGGATGTGTGGTGCCATCCATCCATCCATCCATCGAGCCATGGGATGGGTGCTTTGTCCTGCCCTAATGCACCTCTTGAGAGGCGGTGGGCGGACCGGCGGACCCACACAGCCATCCCATCCCATCCCATCCCTCACTTAGCTAGGTTACACCCACCCCTCCCCTCCCCCCGGTGTGTGGCCTGGCCACTCAAGAGAAAAAAGCGGGGAGGCAGCGAAACACACACACATGAATGAACAAGTGGATGAGGGAACGAATGTAGCAAGGCAGCAAGGCAGCAAGAGAGAGAAACACAGGCAACACGAAGACACTCAACCAAGCCTGTCTGTCTGTCTGTCTGGCTGTCTGGCTGTCGGTCTATCTGTGTGCCTCACTCGGCTATGGAACGAGGCGGGCAACGAAAGGCACGAGAAAGCAAGGCAAGCTATCGTCATCAGGTGCGATCGCGCGATGGCTAGCAGAGCAGCTGCACACGCACACGGGCATGTGGTGTCTGCGTGTTGGCTGCAGCTCACGAGCTGCTGTTGCTCTTGCGCATGAAAATCTCATACAGGAGGGTGGGCTCCTGATTGATGGAACCAACACGATAGACATAGCAACACACACAGACAGTGAAATCCGCTATGTATGTGTCTGTCTGTGCGGTTGGCTGGTAGGCATGTGTGTGTGTGTGTGTGTGAGCTGCCCGGGGCACCTGTATAAGTTCTTTGAATGCGTCGCTCTGCTTGAGGCGGTCTTCGTGGATCTTGATGAAGTCCAAGCATATCTCCTGCACACGCACACACACATGGCATGGCATGATTGCACGTCTTGAGGGAGCAAGGGAGCACACAAGTGGCCGGCTGACTGACCTTGAGTCTGTCAGCTCGGTGTGAGTTTGCGGCGAGGAGGATGCTCACGACGTTGTCGATGGAGATGCCCTTGCGGATGATGTCCTGGCACAACGCCTTCAAACGGTCCAGCAGAAACTGAATGAACACACACAGACAGACAGACAGACAGAACAGACATCGATTCTCAGAGAGGCCCCGCTGCGTGCGTGCGGTTCCACTCTTCCTTGACTGACTGACTGACTGACCCGTTCGGCGGCGATGAGGAGGTGGACGGCATCCTCAGACGTGAGGTTGACGGGCACCTTGTCCGTGTAGAGGTACTCCAGCAACGCAAGGAATATCTACGGACCACAAACACACGCACACAGTGCGGTCCATCCATGTACTCGTGTGCCCGCCTCTGTGTCGGTTTCTCCAAGAGCTGCGTTGCGTACGTCGTATCTGACGTCGGGCATGGGAATGGGTTCTGCCTCCACCTTGCACGACTCCTTCATCCCGCCGTAGAACAACGCCCTGAACGAATGAACGAATCGACCACAAACCACACAAGGGCACAAGGGCCTCAGGGACTTAGTGCCGTTGTGTTATCCTGACCGACCTGAAGTGCTCTGATCGCGATGCGAGGAGTGCCCGGTTGCCGTAGACCTCACGGTTCTCAACAACAAACGTCTGAAAGATATTGACAGGCAGGCAGGCAGGCAGGCAGGGAGTGCACTGGCGCCTCTGCCTTTGCGTGTGGGTGGATGGGTGGCTGGCTGGCTGGCTAACCACGTCAGCGAACATTTGGTTGTTGATGAGCTTCTTGAGGTCCTCCACCAAAGCAGAGGGCGGGATGGCCACAGGCTCTGTCCACACAGACAGAGAGATGCACAGTCGATATCCGTGTGAATGCATGGCATGGCGTGCAAGTATCATGACCGACCGAATCTGAATTCGTGGAAGTCGTTGAGGACGAACTGCCCGTTGTACCCCCCGAAGACATACAAACTGTTGCCGCTAACCTGTGCACATCACACACACACACACACACCACACGTCTGTCTGTCGAGGGCGTTCCCTCCCTCACTCTCTCTCTCTCTCTCTCTCCTGTTGGTTACCTGTGCGACTAGTGAGGACCGTCCTGAGGGCGGTTTGTCCATGTCAACCATGAGCCATGTGTGCAGGTCCAGCCTGTACTCGTAAAGGTCGTTCAGCCGCTCGTGGCCGCTGTACCCGCCAAACAGAAACAAACTGTCGCCTGAACACACACACACACACACACACATATGCAGAGATCGATGCGTGTGATGATAGGATAGCCATGTCGGCACACACTCACAGACATCCAGACGTCCGTCCGTTTTTACCGTATACGACGGATGCGTGGAAGTATCTGGGGGAGGGGGGGTGTCCCGAGTAGCGGACGGGCGACCAGGTGCGCGTCAGCAGCTGGAACTGGTGGAAGTCGTTCATGCGGTGGACGCCGTCGTACCCGCCAAACACAAACACCGAACCCTGAGAGCAGGGCAGCCACACCACACCACACCACACCACACAGACATTCAGCTCAATCACATGACCTGCCTGAGACGTGTGTACCTTACCTTGTAGGTGGCCCAGGAGGGGCAGCTGCGCCCGCTGGGAATGTTGCCCTGTGCGGAGGTGATGCTCCACTGGTGGGTGGCGAAGTTGAACTCGTACATGTCGTTGAGCCACGTGCAGCCGTCGTAGCCGCCAAAGACCACAAACAAACCGTCCTCGCTAACCGCACTCACATACCCGAATCTGGTGGAAGGGGGGTTGCCTTTGGCGTTGACAGGCGACCACTCATTCGACTCTGGTGCACACCAAACACACATGACACGCAGGCAGGGCGCGGCGCATTCGGTGGATGACAGACACAAGCTTGCTGTCCTGTCCGCCTGCGGCGCCCACACCCCACCCACTCCCACCCAGGTGTGCCGTGCCACGCGTACGTACCGAAGTTGAACTCGTGGAAGTCCTGCAGCCAGTTGAATCCGCTGTATCCGCCGAAGAGGAACATCTTGCTGCCGTACACCACCGCACCGTTGTTCTCTCGACCAGCAGGAGGGTTGCGGGCCTCTATCTTGGACCAGCACCGGCTCTCTGAGTGACACACGACAGACACAGTGAGTGACAGCGCAGACTCCGTCCGCCTCTTGCAGTCTAGTCTATGTCGGTTTGTGTGAGTGTGCATGGGATGGGATGGGATTGGGGCGGAGGTGCCTACCGAAGTCGAACTTCCACAAATCGTCCAGACGGCCGCTGACGGCGACACACACAAGGAAAGGAGTAAGGAAGGTTAACGCACAGGGATGGTTTCTTGCCTTCTCTGGCTGTGCTCTGTGGCTGTGCGTGTGTTGGTCGATGAGCGGACTGACTGACCTGCCGCCATATCCCCCGTAGACGTACAGCGCGCCGTTGTAGACCACCGACGCCGCCCCACTCCGCTCACCAGGCTTCACATCTGATGATGGACCCAACTGACACACACACCACACGCACCAGACCACACGAACTTGGAGCCGTCCGTCGCCGCTCTCCCTCCCTCCCTCCCTCCCCTCCCTCACCTCTACTTCCCTCCACCTCCTGGGCGGGTTGTGGTAGGTTGAAGGCGTCTCTGTGCCGCCCCTGCCCCGCCGCTGCCCGCTGAGGATGCTGATGCCAGCGCTGCTGTCCCGGTCCTGGCTGGCGGGCCCTGCCGCCAGACTGGGGTCCTGCATCGTTGTGCTGCTGGCGTTGGTCGTCACGATCAGCAGGTCCCGTGCCCTCTCGGCCCGCGACTGCTGCTGCTGTGACTGCCCTCGTGTGGGTGAGGACGGGCTCGGGCTGGGCTGCGGCGGCCACTGCGGTTGGGCAGGCTCAGGCTGGGCGGGAGCGGGGGTGGGGGAGTTGGGCGTGGACGAAGGTGGCGACGACAACTTGACGACAGACAGACAGATGGGTCAAGGCAGGCAGTGGGACTCTCCTGTTCTGAAGAAAAGCACACACACACACACACCAACAACATACACACGGGAATGCAGCAGATGGGTGTCCCGTCCCCACACATGGAGGCCCGCTCTGTCGATGCGTGGCCATCGTCAGTGTCTGCTGGACCTCTGCCATGTCCGTGCCTACCTCAACTCGGTGAACTCTCTTCTCCTGGCCCTGGACGGCCACGACTCTCAAAATTACTGCACAACACGACCTATCACGCCAAACTCAGTGAAGAGAAGCGACCAGTCTTCGCGCGAATCTCCCTCCAATGCGAGCTTAGCTGCGAGCCTGAAAGAACTCAGCCACAACACAAGCAGAGTAGCAGAGCTGGCGCAATGATGGGAGAGTGGTCCTCTGGTGAGGGGCTTCAGCAGCATATGCAGAGCCACGGATCTGTGCCGCGCCCCGTGTCCAACCCGCCGATGGAGCATCGCTTCATGCCCTACCAGAACAACGGAGGGTGGGCTCAAGCCCTGCAGACCACACCACACCACACCACATCACACCAGATCGACACAGACACAGATCTCTTGAGACGAAACTGTGTTGTGTGTCGGGTCGGGTGCAGGACGGTGTTTGCAGTAGCTGGTCCGACGTATGCCGTTGCCATGGCCGACACGCGTCTCAGTTCGGGCATGAGAATCCTCTCGCGCAACACGACCAAATGCACCCAACTGTAAGCAGACGCCACGCCCAGCCACCAGTGAGTCTGATCAATGTGTGTGCGTTACGATGCGTTGCGTTGCGTTGCAGGACGTCCAAGTGTGTGGTGCTCACCGGAGGCATGCAGGCCGAGATGGTGGAGCTACACAAACGCATGAAGGTACGCACGCACCCAACCTGACAGGCAAACAGACAGACAGACAGACAGGCCCCTAATCGTCTGTCTGCGTGGAAGCAAGCACTGCTTCCCTCATGAAATGAGTCGACACACTGACTGATCCCTCTCTCCTCTCTGATTGCCCGCACTGCACTCCCTCCCCCAGATTTTGATCACCCAGTACGAGCACGCGCATCGCCGTGAGCCGTCTGTGAATGCAGTGGCGCAGCTGCTGTCGACCCGTCTGTACTTTAAGCGGTTCTTCCCCTACTACACCTTCAACGTGGTGGTGGGCCTGGACGAGGAGGGCAAGGGGGCTGTCTACGGCTACGACGCCATCGGCAGCTTCGAGCGCATCCCGTACGTCTCCCAGGGCACCGGGGCGGAGCTCGTGACCTCTGTGCTGGACAACCAGATCGGCAAGACCAACCAGACCAAGCAGCTCGAGCCGCTCGACAAGACAGACCTCATTGACCTGGCCAAGGACGTCATCGCCGCTGCTGGCGAGAGGGACATTTACACAGGTGGGGTGGGATGATCTGATCTGAGCGCAGGGAGGGCGGAGTCATGTGCTGTGTCTGGTCTGTGTCTGTCTGTGTATGTGTGTGTGCAGGTGACTACGCCGAGGTGTATGTGATTGATGAGACGGGCGTCAACAAGAGCAAAGTGGACCTCAGGAAGGAGTGAGTGTGGAGTGGACCAGTCAGTCAAGTGAAGGAGAGCAGAAGGAGCCAGTAGCTAGCTGACCGACTGAGGTGTCAGTCAGCGAGATCCGTCTCACCCCCGCCGACAAAGGAGATCGTGAGTCAAGCGCGGAACCGTGCCATTTGTGTGTGTGTGTGTGCTTGGGACGGCTTGATTGATGATGGTGCCTGGTGACGCATGGCTCTTCTTTCGTTAATTCAACCTTCTTTTCCATTTCACTTGACTTATTGCAGCTGCGCGACAGAGAGACACAATTCGCCATTGAATCGCCCATCCATCGTGTGTGGCTGTACAGAGTGCATTGAGTTGGGGAACAGATGCACACATGGAGACACTCACGCATCGCATCCATCACCATAATGTCGGGTGCTGAAGAATGTCGGCTGACCTGCCCCTGCCCCTCCCCCCTCGCCCCTTGGCAGCAGCCTTGCCGCGACCCCTTCCCCCTCCCGCCGCCCCACCATGGTTGCCGACAGCACCACCAGCCAACACCGTCTGCGGACACACACACACGTGTATATGAGTGTCGGCTCGTGTATGTGCTCCGGTGTGCTGTGTTCTCCTGTCTCCCTGCCTGCGTGGATATCCATCATGCGCTGACACAGGCCGCATTGAGATAAGGACTGCTGCACGTTGCGGCCTGGTGCAGCAGCAGCCCCCCTGTCCCCCCCCCGCGCTCCTGCCTCCAATCGTCCCTGCTTCCGTATCGCTGTCCTTGTATGCTCCCTCACGTACAAGGCATTTTTGTCACTTACTTCTCGCATCAAAATTATGTCAAGTCATTTTCATGCAGAGCAGTCAATGGATCGGCCCCTCTCTTTTCTCATCCTCTGAAGGCGCAAGAATCAGAAAAGTACATCAGAGAAAGTGGGGCAAAAAAACTCCGCATCCACGTCGCGCCACTTCTCTTGCCCGATGGAACGACGCACCGCCATGTGCATGAACGGCAGCCACACGAGAACGCTGCAGACACACAGATGATGGAAAAGGTAGAGACAGACATGCGGCCTGCGGGAGGTAATAGAGAGAAACGTGGATGTCTGACCAAGCGGTGGCGGCCAGGAGGCAGGTCAGAAACATGCAGCGAACAACCCCTTTCTCCCGCCATGACGACACCATGGGCAGGTTTGCCCACCTGACCATGACCACGAGGACCATCCCTTCACATGCGCACTCCATCGCAATGATCAGCGCGAGTCCAATAATCTCGTGTGTGAGGGTGAGAGACGATACACCATTGACGGCAGACGCGACAACGACTGACAGATTGACGAAAAGAAGGGAAGTCATTTCGGCCTAAACGAATAGACAGACATAGAACAAAGCATCGCACACAATGGGAGCTGAGCATTGTACCAGGGACCAGAGAGCGATTTGATCACAGAGAGAACGCAGGTATCTTGACGCGAACACAATTGAACATCCTCGAAAGGAAGAAAATGGGTACGCCTGTTTCTTGTCTATGAGTATCGTGGTGTGACCTTTAGTAGAGCTAATGCTGCCTGCAGACTCTCAATGTTCTTGCCGGTTTTCGCCTGTGTGCCGATAATGTTAACGACGGCTGCAAACGAGTACGATTTCTGCTAGCGCCGCAGCCCTTCATGCCTCTTGGCTGGCTCCTTTTTTGCAGCTATGGCATCGTTGTTCTTGAATAATGTATTGTTGAACCAAGCCTTAAGCAGCCTCTTTATTTGATACAGGGCAAGACACAGCAGGTATCTTTATTCAAGGCTCTTTGTCCACGCCTACCGACAGAAACAACAGAATATCTGATGGACGCACACATAGAGACAAGCACTCATTTATTCGTCCATCGATTCATATGCCTTTCATTCGCTTGTCCGTCTGCTAGCGAGTGACATCGAGGCAGTAGGATGTCATTCATCATGTCAAATCTGAGACAGACAGGCGATGGTGGCATCAGCAGTATCTGAGATTCATGTGGCTTACATTGAGATAAGAATGCAGTAGGCCAGCTTGCTGCCGAGTCCAGGCTCTTCAGCTTGCAGCATACCTATACTCCAAGAAGCAAAAGAAGGCAATCTATGTGTATGTGTATGTGTCTCATATCTTGCGATAGACTCTATCACAACTACAGTCACCACCCGCCGCCTACGGGGAAAGAGGATGTAAGCTATGGCTGGCAGCGTCATCAGCAGTGTATTGCATGTTGGGAGTCCCTCCTAAAGCACAATGAGTGAAGGCGATTTGCTGCTCCTCTTGTGGTTCCAGCTCTCACATAAAGGGTACCTTGATAGATCGCACAACCTTATTGCAACCCCCACGACAGGTAGGAAGGCAGCGAGGTAGATGACAGCCATGAGAAACCGCTTCTGAGGGTGCGAAGAAAGAGGACAGGGAGATTCTGTGTATTATCGTCTGTGCGACTATTTTTCTTCCTCTCTTATTTCCCACCTCATTAGAGTTCGCAGCAGCATACCGAGGGGATAAAACATTCACCCATATGACTTTCATGGTGCATACGATCAGAAAAGCTGCCGTGGCCTTCAGTGCATATACGCGTGCTGCTGCAATCTTAAGCGACCCAGCAGTGCGACGGAAGTATACGTATGTGGAGACAATTATAGAGCCCCAAGTCAAAAAAAGAATGGGAGAGATAATATCTTTTTCCCCCAATGACTCTCCAAGCGGAAGCCATTTGCGAAAGATACCATAAAAGAGAGCACCAGTGGCGGACTGAAAACAAACCACTCTTTCTTCAGCCGAAAATTCATCCTCTAGCCGAAAAATCATCCTCTGCGGGTCGGATTCATCAGTAACATGTACGCAAATCAGCATTACCGCGACGATCAATATGATACTGCGAATCACGTCGAAGGGGAGCCCAAAAAGTCTCGAAGTACATGAGTACTTGTAGATAATGCCAATGCCCACAAGGATGATGGCAATAGGCGAAGCGCCGGTCAACTGCAGTAGAATACATCTGGCGGCTCTTTTGATAATCAGCAACAGTGGTTCAGGCGTAAAAACGGCACCGACAAGCACTTCAGAGCCGTCCACTGTCTCGTATTCGAGTGTTGTTGGGGTCTCTTCATAAGAAGCTTCGTATCCTGCGACCTCTCTGAACGCAAGATACATGCATGCACAGATATCGATGCTTTTGGAGCGATACGATAACCGTGGTGTGCATCTTACCTGAACTCACGAGCCAGCTCGGCTATCACGCTCTCACCAAAACGCGGCTCACCGATAGACGAATCCCTCCGGCCGACATCTTCCCCCGCGTCTTCGAGACCCTTGTTGCCGTCGGTATTGATTGTGGCGCTTCTCTGGCTGGCTGTCACATCGGTGCTCGTGTTTGAGAAGACCGACCCCCGTCTTTCGTCGCCGTGTGCTGCGGTCGTAATGCGCTCGCCTAGAGAGACTGCTGTTTTCTTCTGAATCTCATGCTGTTGATCGGACTGTAAGGATGGGGAATCTGATGAGAAACTGGATGAGAGACCTAGGATGACCGGCGCGTTTGCCCATTCATCGCCGGTCGGTTGAGGGGGCCTCTGAGCAGCCGGCGCTGCTCTCCATCCCCCATCTCCAGCCCATCTCAGGCCCTCTCCTCTCGAAGACATTGCTTCATCTCCAGCCGATTGAGTGATTCTCGCGCCCTCGCCTCTCGGAAACATGGATGATTCGGAAGAAGAAGAGAGAAGAACAGGCGCACGTCGCACGCTTCGAATTTCCTTAAGCTTGGGGTTCCTGCGTGGCTCTTTTTGGACATTCCGTGAAACCGCTCTGGAGGGAAGTGAAGATGATGGAGTGGAGGACGAGAAATTGAGGACGAGAAGGGTTGTAGAACATATATATATACACACACTCGCACATTCACACATATACGCCACCCCACCCACGCCACGCCCGCGACACACACATGTACGTGTCAAACAACATCAGTGAGCTGGGCTATCCCCCCCTCCCACGCCCTCTTCCTCTCACTCCTTGCTGCTGCTGCTGCTGCTGCTGCTGTTGTGGAGCCCCCCGTCCACCAGCAGCACCAGCAGCAGGCTGTGGCAGGTTGTTGTTGAAGCCGCCCCTGAAGCCCTGGCTGGCCGTCGACAGGGAACAGTTCTGAGACATCACACACACACACACACACACACACACACGTGAGAGAGAGGGTGCGATGATGCGTGTGCCGATGGATGGATGGATGGCGGTTCAACAAGTTTGGGTCACTGACGGGGTGTGTGCATTTGAAGCAGCGGAAGTCGCCAGACACATTGCCGAAATCAGCCGTAGCATAGTCCATCTGACCACAATGATGGGGCAAAGGCAAGCTACTGTGGGGTGTGCGCCTGTCTGTCTGTC